TTGTCCATCCACATCGAAAACTGACTGATTGTAAGGGAAATTTCTTAGCAGGGTTTCCATAGTAACCAGGACTACAAACGCAGTTCATAGTACAAGAACCGGTCACGGTAGCCTAGTGGTAGAGCGTTCGCTTCGTGATCTGGAGGCCCGGGTTCGATTCTCGATCGCGCCGCCGCGTCATACCTAAGACGTAAACGTAGGTAGTGACTGTTCCTTCGCCAAGCGCTCGGCACTAGAAATGAAAGTCACAGGTCTTTCGGATATGACCTTAAAAACGTAGGTCCCGTGTCACGGTAGGCGTTGGTACGATAAAGAACCCTCACTGCTCAATGGCCCTGAGTGCCGAGTATAGGTCTAAATTTGAAGCCCTTCACCGGCATCGGTGACGTCTCCATATGAGTGAAAAATTCTCAAGAGGGACGTTAAACAATAGACAGTCAATCAATCATAGTGCAAGAGAAACCTATGTGTGAACAATTATCGAATTCTAAAAACCCTCATGATTCACCTTTTGCCTGATTCTTACAGAGACCTGTACTTAACAATTTTAAGCTTTAGTTTTGAGAGATAAACTCTATATGTATATTATTTTTTATTGTCATAAACTCGTTAACTATAGCTTAAGTTGTTGAATATAGTTTATGAATCTAAACATCTGGTAAATGTTTACGATAGTAATTCAACACCTCGCGGCAGCAATCGCGCGAATGAAAAATTAATGTGTGGTATATCTGTACTTTCTATGTGAAAAGGAACAACAAATCCTGCTCCATAAAAGCATAATTACTCTTATGATAATATCTCTTCTTCATAAAATTAAATAGTAAGTCAACAATTCAGCAACTCTTTCCTTCATTTTTGTATGATCAGCGCAGAAGGTTAGCAAGACTGCAAGGATAGATATCAGTGGTTTCTTCCAATGCTGAAGACACAGAACCTCTTCATATATATACATATCTCTCCATTTTCCTATCTTAAAAAAAGAAATCACTGCTTTTTCTTGTCCTGATTCGATTTATTTCTAACTCATTATGCTTTAAATTAAATTGATAGACGATGTACTATCTACAAGATACATGTATATACATGCATATATTTAACAACCACTGAAAAAAATAGTTGCAATGCAAAGCGAAAAATATAGTGTTGTGACTAATATGAACTGATCTATAATTAACTAAAAATAAAAACAAACTATTATTAAACATATTTTTCTTTGTAAACTTTGGTTTCTAGTTTCACAGAAAATCGTGCATATCTGATACAAGAATATCTGTTCCTAAACTGTTTTTCTCAAAGGTAAAACTATGTTTATTGCATTTGTGTGAATTCGACGGTTTGAGTGTCTAAACTATACCACCCCTACTAATGTTATTGTGATTTAAATTCAAGACACGTGGTTTAGGTTGATCTATTCAAAGGTTATAGAGTAGAACTGGTTTTATAGATAAAATTGGCAGTAAACATGATTTTGCTATAACCTGTTTCTTTTGAAAACATGCCTTGGAATAAATGTTTCCAGACCTTTCTGAAAGACTTTCATGATTTTCAACAGAAATAGGGTGGCTAAAGGATTGGGTGTTAAAATAACAACATATCCTATACTTTTCTGCGAAAATTAGAGCTCACTAGCGACCAGTTCGCTGGTAAAAAAATGTGTATTATCATCAACACTGACAAACCTTTGTTTGCCTTATATGGCTATTGTTATAAATGTGCACAGAGGGTCTAACCACGAGCAACTGACCACTCGTTGAATGAATAGCAACGTTTACAGTAACACCAAATACATGTTTACATTTTACTTCGAACACGAAGGTCAATCTAGGATCATATCAATGGACTGCAAAATTTAAAAAAATGTTCTTACGAACAAAATACAAAGATAAGATATGAAAGATATTACATGCGTTTTTAATTTATTGTTAACTGAAAAAAAATGTTTAATAAATTGTTTACGTAGTTTTATAGTGTCAAGAACACCAGCGCTTCAAGGGTGAGGAAAACGAGCAGTCTCTTATGCATTTAAATGGACAAAACTTTGTTTACGTTCGTGATCACGTGTTCTGCCAGGGAATCCACCTGCATGGCAAATGTATTCACCGATAATTCAACAAAGGAATTAATACATGACTTTCACACACCTAGACTTCCAACGTTTATTTAACAAATGAATTGTTTGTCATCATGAGCATGGAAATATCTATTTTTAAAAATGCTTTTCATTTACCATACGATTTTCCTTTTTTTCAAGCTTAAAATTCCTGTAGTATTCTTAGTAACCCATAATGCACTACTCTTTCAGCTGATTGGTCAGTTGAAATCATGCTGGTGCCTCATTTGCTAATCTGACGCCAAAAAATATACTCCCAGTTCCCATGCAAAAATATTTGTCCAAAGAGAAATTTTAATTCATGACTGCAAAAAATTGTATTATAGAGAATACTTATTTAAGTTTGAGTGAATGTAAGAGAGATCGATTGACTGAAGTACATATCTACAGACATTATCAGCTGATTCTACGGTGGCGAAAACTGAAACGCAACATAAGTTTTCTGTTTACCATGCCTCCACGTGATAGTCACTACCTAGCCACATTTCTTTAGTAATTGACCCTATCTCGCTGAAGTCTCGCTAACTCTCGCCAGAGCCACTCTGAACTCATCGGGTTTTATAACTTGCAGAACACCGAAAAATAAAAGGTTCAGAACACACTGGTAGGGGTGTATACTTTACAAACCCTAAAACATAATTTATAATTGTTAAAGCCGCTTGATCCGAAACAGGCACATGTTATCTTACACAATAAAAGTACTTTATTACATAGATAATATATAAAAATGAATTATAAGATTGATTTAATAATTTATAACAATAATCCTAACAAGGAAAACATAGATCAAAAACCTTGTTGACAAACAGAAGTTCCTGACGGGAAGTTAAGACCTGTTTTGAAGTAACCTTTGAACAAATAAAATTTATCGGTTATATCTAATTATGAAGATAATTCAAACCAGAGTATTTTTTTCATTAGTAAAAGCCTAAGTCCTTTTAAGAATTATGAAATCAATTGAATGTAATCTATAGCAATTTTTATATTAATAAGCATATTTAAAGAATAAAGGAAGATTTTTTAAGGAAGTTGAGTAACGAAAGCTAAAATATTGTCTGTTTACAGGTATAAATTCTTTGGTATGGGAAAATAAATGGTCAGGTTTGTTCCTCATGAGATATACATATAAGCGATAAATCTAATTTTTCAAAGGTGATTTCACGCGATATCAACATAGGATTATTTTTTGTGTGACCTCACAAAAATTATTTTTTTTAACTTTTGAATTTTGATATCTTTTAAAAGAAAAAGACTTTGGGGATCAAACATCTCCCTTCCTTCTCTAAAACAATCCATCCAATTAATGAATAAAGTCTTTTATCTTCATAAACCTTATACAATTATATTCTGCTACTAAGGATTTATTACTAGAAAGAAATTTTCAAGATATATGTTAAATTTTGCAGCCGCCCGTTGCTCGAGTACGACAAATACGACAAAATCAACCTTTTTTATAACAAGTCTCCCAGATATTGACTTCATTTTCACATTGTGATGATACAAACATGGAGCAAAATGTTATATTAAATTTTCTATTTGTAGAACATGCGTATGACTCTATGTGTGCCGAATTTCATTCTGATCTGAACTTTGATTTTTCAAATATAGAGAAATCGCGAATATTTGATCACCCAAATCGTAGCAGTAGTTTACAAATCGTGAAACTATAATCATCATTAAAACGATATTTTTCAGACAGTCGCAAATGATTGTTTTAAGTGTTAATTATAGTTTATTTTATGGAACAATCGCGTAAACTACAGTTGACAGATGTGAAATATAGAGTATAATGGTTACCTGTAGTTTATATTTACCAGGTCCAGTCCAAAGACTATTTCTACCTACGTAGCTATTAATAGCTACGTCATGTACATATTTAAACCTACCCAAAGTAGCTATATTTACATTCTTTTTGTATTATCTGCATTTTGTAACCAAAAGACCATACAGCGCAACATGGTGAATACCATGTATTTTGATACAGTCACACTAATGATGAATACGACGAAATTTTTGACAAAAAATGAATACTTCCTAAATCTTCACTATTTTACATTAAATATTATACAAAATTGTTAATTTACGAAGTTAGAAATTTTTGGTCAAATTTTTGTTATACATCCATCATCAGTATAACTGTATCAAGAAATATGGTACTCACCATATTAGCTCCTTCACGGTAACTGCAGTACTACTCATTGGCAGGGCAAAATAATAATGTTTGGCGAAATTTTTGTTGAGAGATTATTAAATGACGTATATTTAATAATTACTTTTACGTCATATTTCACCAAAATATACCATTTTGCCCTGCAAGAGAGCACTACCGCAGTTACCGTGAAACGGTCTATTGCGCCGTTCAGCCGTTTGCAATTGGCCACAAAATGCAAGTAAAGCAGAAAGTAGGTAAGAATAGCTACTTTGGGTAGGTTTAATACCTACATAACTATTAATAGCTACGTATCCATTTGAATTTTAAAGAGCTTAAAATCGGTGACGGATTCAAACCTTAATTTAATATTATGTAGTTTTTGTTTTTAATCAAGTAGCGCAAATTATTTTCTCTTAATGTCTTAAATCCTGGTTTATTTGAGCAATTCACCACATAAAGATTTTTCATATAAGATATTTTTATAAAATGAAATATGAGTTAGTGACCCATACCCACACCCTTATAATCTAAACCGAAAGTAAGAATTTTATTCAAGTCTACGATAAAAAATGTAGTAATCTATTCAGAACATCACTTTATTTCAACACAATATTGAATGAGTCTTGTATGCCCCATATTTTCGCCCAATTCAATAAGACCAGACTTTGGTGAATTCAAGATTAAACACAATAATAATCATTCAACACAAGAAGGATAACTCTCTTGGCAACGGCTAATGTATACATGAAGATTGCTTTGTGATAAAAAGGGCGTCCATTGCTGGACGGAAAAGAAATTACTCTATTGTAAGATATTGCTTTACATGTTTTTTTTCTTAACTAGATGTTTATAATCTATATAGCATTTAAATACTGTATTTGGATGATTTTATAAAAATTTATAGCTGAAAATGAGGAGTCACATTTGTCAATATATATAATATGAAATGAAAGTTTATGACGACAGTCTTTATATCTTAAAAAAATGTTTCCATAAATTTTGTGTTAATGCTGTTAAGAATCAGTACAAAATGGTTTATGAGATAAATATACAATATGAAGCACTTTTAAATTACTTTCGTTTTCACAGATTTTTGAAACAAATAAAAAAAGATAAACAAAGTAAGTAAAGAAACCCATTAGATTCTTCCAAGATAAACGTTCATGTGTACTTCATTTTTTTTTAGATTCAATATGCATTCAATCTGGAGTGCGCAAGATGTCATCCGATGTGACCTATGTAAGACAGCTTTAGTACAGATGTACTGTGATTTCTGTCATGTCAACCTTTGTAGACCCTGTATTGGAGAACACATTGCTGATGAATATGACAAACATAAAATTGTCCCATTTCAACATAAAAAGTCAACTTTAATCTACCCCACGTGCTCAGCACATCAAACAAAAGGCAGCGAGTTTCACTGTGAAACGTGCAAAACATCTGTTTGTTCTCTGTGTGCTATATCTGAAGCACATAGGGGGCATGCTATTTCAACTCTTTCCGATCTCTTTTATTCAAAGAAAAAAGACATTAAAAAAGAAACTGAAGAATTAGAAAATTCAATTTGTCCAACGTATGCAGAAATTGCAAATGGAATAGAAATCCAGATAGCTAACTTAGATGGGAAATATGAAAATCTTACATCAACGTTGATTGAATTTGGAGAAGAATGGCACAGAGAAATTGACGAAATTGTTGAAAAATTAAGAATTGAAATAGAAAAGGAAAAAACGAAGCATAAGAGTATTCTAAAGGAGCATTTGAGTGAAATCAAACAGATACAGACTCTTATTGAACAAACACTTCTTAATCTTGAACAAATTGAAGATTCTAATGATGTATCTTTGACGATGGAATACATCTCACGCAACAAGGAATTAAGGAAACTACCTCCAAAAATTCAAATATCTCTACCAACTTTCAGTTCAAGGACAATAGACACAGAACAGTTTCACAAGTTATTTGGATATTTAACACCATTATCCGTCACAACAGAGGAAAATGGCTACGAAGTGAAGAAACCAAAGATATCCACAAAAGAAATGCCGGAGGCACGGGTAAGTGATATCATATTAGCACAGTGATCACATTATTTGAACCCCCAGACATTGATACGTATATTCTGTTCTTTTGGGGTTTCTTTCTTCTCTGAAGCTTCATTCTCGTTTCCTGTATACAAATCAGTTTTGGTTAAGAAATCCTCATAAATAGCTGTATTGTGTGCTTTCAGACTTGGGCCACAGAGAACATGCCCTCTACCGATAAGTTGCTCGTGGCAGCCATTGACATAGGTACCACTTACAGTGGCATTGCATTTTCTTATAAACATGAATACGAGAACGACCCTTTGAAGATCAGGTCCAACAACTGGGATTCAGGCACATGGGGTCTCGTGACCCTTAAGACCCCCACCTGTGTTCTTTTCAATAAAGACAAAGTGTTGGACTCGTTTGGTTACGAAGCGGAGGAAAAATATTTAGAACTCACACTGGAGAAGGAACACGAGGAGTGGTATTACTTCAAGAGGTTCAAGATGTCTCTCTTTAACAAAGAGGCAAGTTCATCTCTTAATCTGTGAAAAATGGTAATTATTTAAAGTCAGGATTATTCTTAAGGGGCCTGTAATTACTCCGTTTACAATGAGGTAATCCACCAGGTAGTATTATATTTCCTATCAATACTCTGTGAGGGGAAGAACACTTTAACGAGGCCCGATCTAGTTGAGAATTACGAAAACGGAATGATAAAAAATTTTGTTATTGGAAATATACTTGTACGATTATGCTAAGAAAAATTAGAATTAAATTTTGTTACCTTGCCTTTATTGTAGTGAAATAGGGGCACTGTCAAGATATGGACCATTTTTCGTGTTTTTATTCACAATTACATACTAAAACTCTTCAATAAACAAAGAAATTTACAAAATAAAAAAAAAATACATGATGAAATTCTTTGTTTTACACATATATCATGCAATTTTCATTCTTCTTAAAAAAAATGAAAAGAAAATTGGAAGTAGCCTTTATTGCAGTGAAAAGGGGGCATGTCAAAACACAAAATTTTGATTTATTCTATCCATCTACGTATTTTATAGGTCCCAATGGGTTTACATAACACTAACAAACGATTGCAATATTGTATAAGTTTCAAAAAAAATAAACAATTCTTACATTATGAAATAATTTTCTCGCCATGCTTATTTTTTCTCTTAACACGCGACGTTGTTTTACGTGGAAAATAGGGGTAGAAGGAGGGGGGGGGTAAAGGCGACAAAATTGCCATTTTCACTAATATCATGTAATATATCGAAAAATAAAATATTTTGGGGGTTCAATTTATAGGATTTATAGACCATGCATATTTAAGTCCGCAATAAAAAGAGTGTGTATATTAAACACTTCAACATGTTCAAAGAGAAAGACTTAAATCGTTTACTTTTAGTTGGAATGTTTGTTTTTTTTAACTCACAAATTGAAATAAAACAGGATAAAATTAATGAAACTGTACCAAAACATTCATACCTCAAAATTAATTAGGTTCCAAAGTTGTGTATTAATTTAAATATAAAAAAAAGAAATGCATGCTTTCAATGCATAGTCTATAGAGCTACCAGGTAAGCAATATCAGCGAAACATTTTAGTGCAATTTGACGTCATTTTATTGTGACCTTATTATGTTCAATTGTGACGGCAGTCAAGGGTATTGTGACGTATCTGAGTCGACGCTGCGTTAAAACGTATGCGCAGATCAAGTAGATCTGGCCTCGTTTATTCTGTAATACAACCCTGTTGTAAGTAAAGGCAGTTAAAGATACTAGTAATCAGGATCGATATATTTGAGAAAAAAATTGTATTATGTAATTTGTTGAAACTTGAAATTTATATTAAAAAATTATTCATCGGCGTTGTTTTGTACGAAAGCTCACTTAACACTTGTTAAAAATATTTTTGATATATTTCGATAAAACGAATTGCCGAATTTGTAATAACGAATTTAGTTCGATATAACAGTTTCTTTAAATTCGTTATACTGAATTTAATCTGTTGTAACAAATTTGTTGAATTCGTTATGACGAATTCAAAAGTTTATTAATACGTATTAAACTCTACCAAATTCTAAAACTTGTTTTAACGAATTGAATTCGGTTAAACGAATTCTTTAATTTCTTAAAACGAATTTAATTTGTTTAAACGAATTCAACAAATTGTTATATCGAATTTATATATCGGCGCTGGTTAATTAGTGAAAGCAAATTTAAGAAATTGTTATATCGATTTTCATCTGTTATAACACATTGTAGAATGTGTTATAACGAACTCAACAATTTTGTTATATCAGATTAAAAATCTTAAAAATCAAAAATATTTTTGATAGGTCCTAAATGGGCTTCCGTAGTTTTGCGTTTAGAAGCTTGGATTTAATATTGAACCTTTTTAAATAAGCAGACTGTATTTTTTTCAAAATTCTAAAGATGTACATATTTCTCACAGGAACCGATTTCTAAAGCCGTAAAAATAAAATCTATAGACGGGAAGGAGATGATGGCTTTGGATGTGTTTTCTGCGGTCATTGAATTCTTCAGGGGTCACCTACTTCATTCTCTAAAAGAAGAAGGCGCAGGGATCATAGAAATTGATATACGCTGGGTCATAACAGTACCTGCTATATGGGACGATCCTGCCAGACAGTTTATGAGAAAGGCGGCAGTGAGGGTATAAGCTTTAAATTAGCGTAGACAAATACAAGCAACTTCAATTAGAGTTTTTATGTACATAAGCTAATATAGGACCTATGAAAAATATATACTTTAAGAAAACTTCTTAAATTTGTCGAATTTGTTCTAACGAATTAAATATATTATAACAAATTTTTTTGAATTCGTTTTAATGAATTTGACAAATTTGTTATAGCAAACAAAATTCGTTAAATCTATATGTAATTACAAATTAAATTCGCTAGAACAAAATCTAAAATTTGTTATAACAAATCATATTCGCTTATACATATTCAGCAATCAGGGCCTTAAAAAATATTTATTCTACTTCTGTTAAAATGTTTCCAATATAAAGTTCAGAAAGTATAAAATATCTATCTTTATAGTCCACGCATAGCAAAGCTATACCCAGGGTATATTTATACCCCCCAGAAACGAAGTTTGGGGGGTATATAGGAATCACCTTGTCCGTCTGTCCGTGTAGCTGACCGTTTGTCTGTGCAAACGTGTCCGGTCCATATCTTTCTTACGGAGGAACATTAGAATCTACTACTCCAGACAAAGATTGCCCATGACCTAAGGTGTGTCGTGACCTTGAACAAAGGTCATTTGAAGAAGTTCAAGGTCACTGGAAGAAAATTTTCATAAGTCGTTTCCGGTCCATATATTTCTTATGGATAAACTTGGTAGGTTCTAATTTCATACAAATATTGCACATTACTTAAGGGTGTGTCACGACTTTGCTCCAAGGTTATTTGGGGAAGTTCAAGGTCACTGGAAGAAAAATTTCATAATTCGTGTCCGTTCCATATCTTTCTTATGGATAAATTTGGTTGGTTCTCATTTAAAGCAAAGATTGCTCATAACCTAAGGGTGTGTTATTACATTGACCCAACGTCATTTGGGAAGTTTAAGGTCACTGGAAGAAAAATTTCATAATTTGTGTCCAATTCATACCTTTCTTATGAATAAACTTGGTAAGTTCTCATTTCACACAAAGATTGCTCATGACCTATGGATATGTCATGAACTTGGGTCAAGGTCATATGGGGAAGTTCAAGATCACTAGAAGAAAAATTAATTTGTGTCTGGTCCATATCTTTCTTTATTATGGAAAAACGTGAATATACTATTTCACACATACATTGCTTATGACTTAAGGTTGTGTCATGAATTTGAACCGATGTCATTTATGCAAGTTCAAGGTCACTGACAGAAAACGTTCATGATTCGTGTCTAGAACGTATATTAAGTCTATTTTTTTATTTGACTGAACTTTCGTTTCATTTAAAAAAATATAAAGAGCAATTACATGTGCACTAAAAATGTTTTAGCTTTTCTCTCTTCTCTTAGATCCATAAAATATTCATGATTTAGCACTTCTGGAAAACCCAGCGGGGGTATTTTGTCCCGTTTGGACAGTTCTAGTTTATGTTATTATACGTCTACTGTAATTACTCTATAAAAAATAAATACGATAAAACTGTCCATTTCCCTGAGAAGAGATTATTTCCCTCATCTGAAGACTACTCCCTGGAAAATCAGAACTACTCCCTGGGACTACTCCCTCATGAATATTTGTAAGTAATTATAACGAATCAAATTATTCAGTAGGCGGAGAAGTGAATTTTAGCGAAATGAAGACAACGATTATTCTTCGAAATGTCAAGGAAAATACTCTCCAAAAATAATTTTATCGTTCTTGAACACGATGCATTACATATTATACATTCTTTTAAATCACATGTATTTGTAATAATGCCTCTTCAGTGTTTTTTAAATGTCGGAATATCTGGAAAAAAGAATCGATCTATGATTTTTTCGGTATAATTAAACAGATATGGAATGGGAACTCGGAAAATAACAAATTCATGGTTCCCCTCGGCAGGAAACTATTTCCCTCGGTGGCGAAGCCGCCTGAGGAAATAGTTTCCTCCCTTGGGGAACCATGAATTTCCTTTTTTTCTCGTACCATACCGTAACTGTATATTATTATACTTTGGTTATTATACCTCTACTGTAATAAATCTATATAAAATAAATACCATAAAACCGCCTATTTCCCCGAGAAGAGACTCTTTCCCTCATCTGAGGACTACTCCCTGAGAAATCAGAGCTACTCCCTGGAACTAATCCCTCATGAATATTTATTATCAATTTTATCAATAAAAGTGTTCAGTGGGCGGAGCGTTCCAGGAATCTAGATTCCGTGACGTAATCTTATTAGCAATGAACTATGACATCAAAACATTTCAACATGCAATGTCAAAATCATAGTTACTTGAATTCTAGCAAAATGAAGACAACGATAATATTTTCTTGGAAATGTCAGTGAAAATATTTTTAGGAATATTTTATTGTTCTAGGACACGATGCATTATTTAGTTATCTTTTAAACCGCGTGTACTTGTGATTATGCCTCTATAATGTTTTTTTAAATGTCGGAATATTTGGTTTTTAAAAAAATCACCTATGTTTGTTTCGGTATAATAAAACAGTTATGGAATGGGAACTCCGGAAATAGCAAATTTATATATCCCCTCGGCAGGAAACCATTTCCTCCCTCGGGGAACTATAAATTTGCCATTTCCATCGTACCCTTCGTTAACTGTATACTATCCACCCTCGGAAAATTTTTCATGCAATTTTTGCCACCAATTGTGATTTCCAGCGTTGAATCTATTGACTGATGATGACATAATGACTTCAGTAGCATTGTGAGGTCATCAGGATTTCAGATTATTCTTGCAGTATTATCTTACTCCAAAAAAAAATAAAATTTAAAACTCAGTAATTATATTATACATCAGTATAATAAAACGCTAATCCAATGGCTGTGAGTGGGATAGCTCTATTATCAAACCCGCAACAGAGAACTATTCCCCGAGGGCTTAATTTCCAGTAATATTTCTTTAAACTGACGATGTCATAATGCCTTCAGTAGCATTCTGACGTCATCAGTATTTAAGATTATTCTTACAGAATTATTTTATTAAAAAACAATACAAACCTCTGAAATTATATTATACATCAGTATAATAAAACGCTTATCCACTGGTTGTGAGTGGGGTATGTGGCAACGCACTTTGAAAAAATTACGCACTTTGAAAAACTTTTTCAAAGTGCGTAAATTTTTGGGACCAGGTTAACGCACTTTGAAAAAATTTTTTTTTTTCAAAGTGCGTTAATATGGACCATATTAACGCACTTTGAAAAAAAAAATTCTGCATGGCTTAGTCAATATTCCTACAAATCTTAAGTATGATAACTTATCATTTGAACCTGATTTGATACTTTTTGTCCCCCGCTTGAAAAGGGAGGGTATTAATTTGGGTCTACCTGTCCGTCCGTCCGTCCGTCTAGCTGTCCGTCCATCTGTCTTTCTGTAACGCTTTCGTTTCCACACGATATCTCGACAACCCTTTGAGCTTTTGCAATGAAATTTAACATAACAGAATACCTGTGGCCTTAGGAAGACCCCTTTTGAATTTGGGGTCAAAAGGTCAACATTCAAGGTCGTAAAGAACTACGAGCGATAGTATTATTCTTCCGCCTATCTATAAGTCAATTCTCAAAAGTTAACATCTTGGAATGATTCTCAAAATTTTTATACATATTTATATGAATTTTCATCAAACCTTACTTATTTGGGATACCAAAGAGAGATAACTCTATAATTTTGGCAAAACTTGTGTTTTCCACTATAGAAATCAACGGAAAACTGAAAATATTTTTTAAACAACACCCCCCCCCCCCGTGAAACAAAAATTCCTTTTTACAGATAATATGGACTGTTATTTTACAAATTTATGCCAAAGCTTTTTGTGTTTCACGGGGGGGGGGGGGGCATATGTTTATAGACAAAAAACGAGAAAAAAAATGCTTATTTTTCACCAATTTTAAGGCTATTTAAAACTAAATAATTGTATTTTATTAATTTAATATATATGCGTTATTTATTTGCGTAAAACATGAGAAAAGATATTAGATACATGTTAAATGAACAATTCCTATGAAAATATCAATGTAAGTTAAATACCTGGAGGTTAACAGAGAGATTATCAGATATGGTATCAAATTAACATCGAAAAGCAGACAGGTACTTAACATAATTAAATGTAATTAATGTAATTAATATTCTGATTTTCCTGAAAATGAACATATATAGACTTTGAGATTTAAAAGAACAAAATTTCGATTTACTACAGACTTCCTTGTACAGTGCTTATATTGTATTTAGAATGCTCTTTTTTTCAAATATCATTGACACTTAAGTTTACGAGTTATAGAAATAGATACATCTAGGTGGGAATGATAAAGAGTTGAGCTGATAGACCTTAATTCAGCCAGTTTTTTCTTCGTTGTCCGTTTCTAGGTTTTCTTCAATCCATCAGTTTTTAGAAAGAAACACATCAAAGTAAGGGCACTGCAAAGCGGAGCATTCCTTCCCAAAAACCATGTTCAGTAAATCAAGGCAGCATTTGACATCGATCGCGATACAAATTACATCAATTCCACACAGAAAAAAATAACATACACATAAAGTAATAACACACATGATCGCATCACTATATCCCATCATACGTTGCGAGGGGGTAATACTGTTGTCTATTTCTAAAATATAAGTCTAATTCCTTTTGTTTCATGAAAATTTTTTCAAAGTGCGTTAAATGTTGACATGGTGTAAAATTATGATGTACAGTCTTAACGCACTTTGAAAAATTTTTTCAAAGTGCGTTGATTTGGTCCCAAATTCAACGCACTTTGAAAAATTTTTCAAAGTGCGTTAACCTGGTCCCAAAAATTAACGCACTTTGAAAAAATTTTTCAAAGTGCGTAATTTTTCAAAGTGCGTTGTAACAAAGCGCTTATGTTTTACTCGTTCTCTGTGTTTTTATTTATTTAAAATAATTTTCATATATATATATATATATATATATATATATATATATATATATATATATATATATATATATATATATATATATATATATATAT